CAGCTGGAGGCATTTTGTTTGGAAGAAAAGATTACTTTTCAAAGTAATCAGATATTTGCTTCATAATAGTACAATATGCTCTTGATCCTGAATTAAGTCTTGTGAAATTGTCCTGTTAACTGAAATTATGCAATACTTGCACCACTGAATTCAGATAGACTTATGACCAGTCTAATTTAAAATGAGATGTTTTAACCTGTTTTATTGCTTATTCCTGAGTCACCCATGTTTATCGTAGAGGGATAGTGGAAAATGTTGATTTTTTTATTATTCTTAATGTATATCTTAAAGTATGATTTTTTTTTTATTGTCACCATTTAAATTGCAGTAATTGCCAAATGCTTTTGATGGCTATAAATATATGTAGTCTTAGTATAAGCCCAGGTTGAAAAATACATCCTCTGGCTCTTTGGGGTGGTAAGGTTGCAAAAACAAAACTGATACAAAACTGGGTGGAAGAGCTGGCACTTCCAGAGGGCTGTGCTGCCATTCAGAGGGACCTGGACAGGTTGGAGAGTTGGGCAGAGAGAAACCTCATGAGGTTCAATAAGGGAAAGCGCAGGGTCCTGTACCTGGGAAGGAATAACCCCAGGCACCAGTACAGATTAGGGGATGACCTGCTGGAAAGCGGCCCTCTGGAGAGGGATTGGGGAGTTCTGAGCCAGCAATGTGCCCTTGTAGCCAAGAAGGCCAACGAGATCCCAGCCTGCATCAGGAGTGTGGCCAGCAGGTCGAGGGAGGGGATCCTGCCCCTCTCCTCAGCTCTGGTGAGGCTGCACCTGGAGTATTGAGTGCAGTTCTGGGCTCTCCAGGACAAGAGGGACGGAGACCTTCCAGAGAGGGTCCAGTGTAGAGCGAGCAAGATGATGAAGGGGCTGGAGCATCTATCGCATGAGGAAAGACTAAGTGAGCTGGGCCTGTTTAGCCTGGAGAAGATTGAGAGGGGATCTGATCAACATGCACAAATACCTGAGGGGTGAATGTAGGGAGGATGGGGCCAGACTCTTCTTGGTGGTGGTCAGTGACAGGACATGGGGTAATGGCTACAAATTGAAACACAGGAAGTTCCACCTCCATATGAGAACTTGTTTACTGTGAGGGTGACAGAGCTCTGGAACGGGCTGCCCAGAGAGGTTGTGGAGTCTCCTTCTCTGGAGATCTTCAAAACCCGCCTGGACACCACCCTGTGCCACGTGCTCTAGGTGTCCCTGATTGCGCAGCGGGGTTGGACTAGATGATCTCTAGGGGTCCCTTCCAATCTCGACCATTCTGTGATTCTGTGTCTCAGTTTGGCCATGTGGTATTTGAAGAACTCTTGATCTGTTGTAATTCTTATTATACTGCGTATTATTATGATACAGTGAAATATGAAATGTTTTTTCAACTATTTCTAACTGTACCATGTGTATCTTAACTATTCACTGAGTCTTCCTTCAAATATTGTTGGTTGTGTAATGACTGGCTATATTTATTTCCTTCCTTTATAAAATCCAGTCCTGGTTATACATTGTCACATAGGCATGCTAGATTGTCTTATCCTACTTTTGGAGGATGGTATGTATAATCTAAAGCTCTTCCACTTTAAATAACAGGATGTGTTATTCTCCTCTACTAACATCTCCCTAAGTCTCTTTTCACTGATAAGAGGAAGGTTAACTATCTTTCATATCCTACACTAATGTAAACTACAGTATCAAAGATTATAAAATCACTTGACCCTGTTGATTCTTCATTCTGTGATCAAGATCAAAAGTGTTTGAGCAATAAAAGAATCGTGTTCATGGCTGATACAAGAGTTTTATGTACCTCCAGTGAAACATCTAAAATAATTCATCCTTTCATGTTGTTAAAAGATCTGTTTAGTTGGCACATAATCATGTTTATATTTGGAGTTGAAAATTACAAGTTTGGAAAAAAAAGTTTAGCAGGTGCTATATCATCTTGAAAAGACTCTGAAAGCTTGTGTGTGTGTGTACTTTGTATACCAATGTTCCATTTTTTTAGCAGTTTTTATAATCTGCATGCCTTTTCACTAATGTTTTCCTCAGTTTCAATGTAGCTCTTCTGATCTCACTGAGTAACGAGTATCTTATGCATAGCCTTATTATTCCTTTTTATGTCTCATTACCTTATAATGTATCCCTTCCCATTAGGGGATGATAGAACCCCTGGTTCAAGTTGATGAGAATTTGAAGGGGATTAATCCATCTCCTTATGAGGAAGAATCCTGCCTGGATGCCACCGTGTGCAATGTGCTCTAGGTGTCCCTGCTGGAGCAGGGGGATTGGACTAGATGGTCTCTAGAGGTCCCTTCCAACCTCAACCGTTCCGTGATTCTGTAATGATGTGCGAACCTGTCCCCACCATACATTCATTTACAAAATCTCATGTGGGAATCTTAGGAGTTAATGATGTTGTGTGTGTTTTGTATTTGTTCCCCCTCTGCCCAGCATAAACCCCTAAATCAGCTTGACAATCACAGTCTAATAAAGAGAGGTACACCATAGCCTGTTACAATTACATGCTGTAATTGTAGGTAGTAGATACCAATACCAATACCTGGTTCTTGACACAAATGGAGTAATGCTTATGTACAACTTGTATTAGATAATGACTGCCAGGCTAGGATAATTAGGAACAACAGATTTAAGGATGCTGCAGGGACAGAGTGGTATTTGCACCTGAACTAGAAGAGGGGTGTGTGTAAAGCCAGACAAAAAGAGAAGTAACAAAAGAAAATAGGCTCTTGATTTGACATTTGTAATGTCCCTTCCGGTTGCAAAAGCAGCTTCAGCATGAGAAGGCGGCAAATAGAAATTGAAAAGAAGAGCTGGAAAATAAATTTAGTTGCCTGCAGGGATTTTGGATGGCAAGGATGCCAAGCAAGCACCGGGCTTGCTTGCTGATTCACTGCTGTGTTTTTGACAGCTTTGATAATGGGTCAGAAAAGGGGCAGGAACTGCTGTTTGGCCTCCTCTCTTTCTGCTTGGCCATTGCTCAGACAGGGACAGTCCTCCACACACAAAGAAACATCCTGATGGCATCAGCCACTGCTGATGTTTTATCTGTCTTAATGTCCTGTGTGGAACATTTCCAGGAAACTCCACTGGATTGTCTTTAGACACAAAAGGCCTTCTGGGTGCAGAAGACAGGCTAGGGATGCATGACTGCTGTCAGTTTATGTTAAGCATATTGGCCAGGATTAAAAAAGAGGATCAAGGGTCCTTTCTCAGCATGAAAACAGTGTTTGTACTTCCTCTAACCTAGAGCAGCAGAAGATACTTTAACGTAAGCACAGGCTACAGAAGATCTTAGTGTCATGTGGACACTGCCAGGGCACAGGGAAATACGTGCTTTGTAAATTAACATCTTTTTCAGGGGATGGTTGTAGTTCCAATAGATGTGCCAATAGATGTGAACTTTTTTAAGTTTTAAATCACATGGGAATTGCCTGCAGACTTTGAATTGCCTTTGGATCATGGTTTGTATATTGCAGTTATCTGAAACGTCTGGCATTTTTAGGTATTCTCTTTGGTTGTTCAAGCTAGATCTTTCCCAAACACTGAAAATATAATTGCAGCACTTTCAACATTTAATTGACCAACTGATTTACCCTGTAGCTATATAATACAGTATTTAGGGTTGTCCCTTTAGTCTAAATTAGAGGTATTAATTAGCTTTATCCCCTTCATTCAATAACAGAGTATCTGATGTTTCTGAAATAATCTTTGGAAATCAAAGATCGCTATTTTTCAACACAGAATGCTGGAAAATTTGAATTGTAGAGGGGAAAAAAAATGATGGTTCGTAGAATAACTTTGAAACCCTTCAGAAAATATTTATATTATATTATTTATTATATTATTTGTATTATTTATATTATTATATTTATATTACTTATAAGTCTGACTCATGTTAATAATATCAACTAATTTTGTAAAACTGCCTTTTGTACTTGTTAAATATTTTACTTATACTTTGACATCTTTTTCCTGTATTTCAAATATGAATGTGTTCATATGAATGTTAACTTTATTTTTTTAGTTTTCCAAATTTTATTTTTTATTTTTTTATTTGGATTCCTAATCAATGTGTAAGGTCATTTTTTCTGAACTTCTAGGGTTTTTGGGGTTTTTTTTTTTTTGCTTTTCAGTCTGAAGAAGGGTATATGCTGCTAGTAAGCTTAGCAAAACATACAAGTGAGATTTTAATCCAGTACTCTAAATAAGATTGAGTGACATGAAGGAAAAAGACTTAACTTGCCACCCACACTCAGAGCCATATCCTGTGTGACCCAGTCAGTCTAAATATCCTGTCTGAATTCTAAATTCTGGCTACTAGAATCTCCCTTCAGCTGCATACTGATTACTTATTTTCCAAATATGTTGAATAACTACAATTTTTAACACTAATATTTTCACATTTTAAAAATGAATCTAGCTTTTGTTGAAATGTCTCCTTTTCCTCCTAAAACACTCCATGTAAATGAAGTGTTGTGGAAAGATTCATCTGACTTTTGCCTCAGACTGTTGGTCGTAGGGAGGTATTTAAAAGTATTCCATTGAGTTTAACTCTTAGGCAAATGCTAGAGTGCCCAGTGCAGCACTAGGTCCTGGTCCCCTGGAGCACTGTCCCCTCATTGACCATGAGAATGTGTTGTACTTGAAAATTAATTTTTCTGAAATTGGTTTGTTGAAGTGAAAGGCTAAGATTTTGACACTGAAAAACTGCTCAAGCAGTGAGGGTAGACTGTTGGTTAATGTTTATTCTATTCAGATGAAAATATCAGCTGTATGAAAAAGTCATTGCTGTTATAAATTCACAGGAAAAGGAATTGCTGGATATTTGAGGTACTTTAAATGCACTTCATATCATTGTAAGTTGCGCAGGCCTAGAGATGACATTAGGGTTTGGTACCTTGTGTTGCAAATATCAATAACTTCTTTTAGGATCTGCTTAGAATTGATGCCTTATAAAACTGTCTGTTTATTATTAGGCATAAGCAATTGAGGACAACTGCTATTGCTGTCAGAAGATGGAAAACAACGTAACTACCATCTCTCGTGAAGAGCTTGAAGAACTAAGAGAAGCATTTAGTAAAATAGGTATGTTTTAGCTGAGCAAATAATAACAATTCCATTAATACTGCAGAGCCATATAGGTTTTGTGAAAGAAATAGTTATGGAATTGCTGTGTTTTGATAGTGCCATGTTTTGTTCTCTATTGCCAGACTTAGACTCCTTATGAGACTGGGTAGAAGCTACACAGAATAGCATGGGTTACAGGGAAATTAGCATAGAGTAATAAATTAATGCCTAAAAATCAAGTATGTTTCTCTAGTAAGCCCTTCTATAATATATTCTTCAACTTTTTATTGGAAAATCAATTACTGCAGCAATTACAATCAATTACTGATTGTGTTTTTGTATTACAGAAAATATTTTTTAAGAAAAAAAAAGCGGGGGGCGGGACATGCACATTGACAAGTTAGAGAAGCCAGAAGGTCTCAGTTCTTTCTGACTTGTGTTACTTTACTTGTGACAGTGTCTTAGATTGTTTAACCTTACATCATGTGTAAAATTGGGAAAATATTAACTCACATATATCAAGAGTTTTTGTGTAATGATGAAAGAGGCTGAAATCTGTTGTCAAACAAAAATATTAGCATTAAATATATAAAGCAGTGGGCATACATTAGTTATGCTACATAGATGAGGTTCAAACTCCCAAGAAAAAAATCTATGTTGTTGTCTATGGGGTGTAGCTTTGCCTTTCTTCTTTTAAAAATACTTTATCTCTAATATGATATTTCACTATATATGCAAGTAACACTTGATTGACATTTTCAAATCCTTGTTTGTATGAGTCTGGCTGCTTTTCTTACTTATATCTATATTTTTTAATAAAATTAATTTCCTGCAATGCTGTGGATAAAACCATATTTTAGGTTTGTAAAATGGTACTTTATTGTACTAAGAATTGTGAAACTAAGCTCAACCTCCTGCTGGAAAAAAAAAAGGCTTTCTAACACCTTGCTGTAGGCAGAGTTCCTGACATGTCATCTTGCAAGCAAAGTGAGGGTGGCAGTACAAACTGCTTCCAACAGGGCAAGTTAATACATTAGGCAAGGTCACCTTTAATGAACAGATACAGATCATCCTGGATTTAATTTTCACAGCTAAGCCTTACCACATCAAAAGCTTTGAAAACTAGAAAATGTCTATCAGATGTTTAGGATAAGGAACAAAATGCAGAGCTGGGTAGAGTTCTTGTGGTAGACTATCACAAGATCTGAATTTCAGATATAAAACTTTTACTAATGGAAAATACTATAATAAGAGGTAAGATAATAATTGATCTTCCTTTAATTTGAAGGTTTATGGAGGAGTTTGTTGGAATTTTAAGATATAAAGGCTTAAATTTAGTATTGACAGATTTATCATCTTGTAGTATCAGCTTTAGGATTATAAAATAATCCTTTATAAAATACAAAACAAAATGGCACACTTCCTACATAGTTGTGGCTCTTACCCCCATGCTTTCCTTCATTTGTATTTATATGCAGTAAGCCAAAGGGAGAAATACAGTTCACCTAGAACTGCGGTGCCATTTCTCACACTTTATTTACTCTCAATAATAATTATACTTGGTGGGGGGGAAGGGGTTGTTTATTTTGTTGTAGTTAATGTGAACATAAAAACAGTAAGTATTCTCATTTTACAGATATTGACAACAGCGGGTATGTCAGTGATTATGAGCTTCAAGACCTTTTTAAAGAAGCAAGCCTTCCCTTGCCTGGCTACAAAGTCCGGGAGATTGTAGAAAAAATTATTGCAGTAACAGATAGCAACAAAGACGGAAAAATCAACTTTGAAGAATTTGTCTCTGTAAGACATTCCTCTTAAACTTTCCTCTAATTCATAGCTGATTGTTTTTTTTAATAACTTTTCATTTTAAAAGGAAGTATAAATTAGTTATTAAGTTACTGCTTAAAGTGTAGAATGTGTAATATGCTTTAATGTTTGCTTCAGAAAAATGTCTGTGCTTTTTCCTCTGTGTGTGATATGCAACTTACAGAGGAATAAAGGTGTATGAGTCAGAAGGAGCTGATTAATGAGACTTATCAAGAGTGCAGGAAAGTTATTCTTCCACTACTTCTCAGCTTTTTAACAGCATGAAGAGTGATGTCCTAGGAATTCCAATGTCTAGACTGACTTGCTGCAGAATATTGTGCTTCTCTGCCTTCAGCTCCTTTGAATTCTCACCCCATGGATCGATCTTAGTAAATCTTGTAATCAAAGCACTATACAGAGTGTTCCTTTGCCTGTCTAATATGACAGTCTCTAGGCTGTCCAATATCTGATGAGCACTGGGACAAAGATATACTAAATGATATGACTAAGTAATTTTTTGAGAATGGGAACTTTACAATATTCTTTATAAGTATTTCCCAGTCATTATATTTGACTTTGTTACTTAATTTTGTTGGTCTAATTAACATGAGTCTAATGAGGTCTAATAACATGAGAATGCAGTAGTTCCAATGAGTCCTGCTTTCTCATTCCTCAAAGATGAGTGTCATGGATTATTTATTAAAGGAACTATTGGGTCAGCCCTTGCCCTGCCCAACATGTAGATTGTTACAGATACTGACCTTGAATTCTTAGTGATACACTGTGCTCGCACTACCATGCGCAATCGCTATACTAAGTGCTGTGTTTTACTGGGAATAGGGTAGGATTTTTCACACAAATTTGCTTGATTTAGAAACTTTTTATTTTGGTCACTGATGAGGGCACTTCATTCAAGAGAACCAAAATCTTTTCAGGATTAAAAAACTTGTGAGTTTTTTAAATAATTGTTGCTGGGATTTTATAGTAGTGATGTTGATTGAAGCAGATTACTTGTTTAAGTAGATGTTTCTTCACAAGATTCTAATTTGCACTGATTCATGGCTGAGATGCATCTGTTTGTATCTGAGTATTGACCCATGTGTGTTGCCTATACTTCATTATGAGCTCTGAGATCTCTAGTGTGTTTGGGCTAATTCAGGACATCTGTCAGTATACCTAACTTGATTTAATATTACAGGCACTTGGAAAACTGTGTCAGCTTATATAAGAAGGTATATAACTGTCATGCAATAATCTTTTACTCTAAGGCCTATGATCAAGTAAGTGGAAGAAGTATGCTCTAGTCCTGCATGAAAATATATTTTACTAAGTATCTGTTGAAAAATTACTTAGATTGTTGCAGAGCTAGTATGTTGACTTAAAATTAGCATCTTATGTACTCACTGATCAATAATATATTAGGTATCCAGTATGTAGGCTTCAGGAGGGGATTTGAGCTAATATTATCAATATAGTACCTTCTTTTCTCTCCTTCTGGAACAGGAGCCAATGTAAATAGCAAATAGCCTGACCCCTTTGTCTAAGTAGTTGAAAGTATGACCAGTCACAAAATGCTCTCTATTATTCTTTTATTCCAGATTATTCAGGAATTGAAGAGTAAAGATGTTAGCAAATCTTTCCGAAAAACAATAAACAAAAAGCAGGGCATTACAGCAATCGGGGGAACATCCTCGATATCTAGTGAGGGGACACAGCACTCTTATTCAGGTAACAAAAAAAAGGGGGGGGGGCAAATTATGTAGGGGTTGGGAAATAGCCTTGAAACTTGGACTACAGAGAAGGAATATTCAGTGGAAAATGTTGTTGTTCAAAGCAATCTAACAGAAGAAAAGCATCTGAAGATGCACAAGATACTTGTTTACTAGTGCACTTTATTAAAATGTGGGCTGATCAGTTTGTTGCTAGCTTTGTGCTGTACCCAGAAGTAAGATTTTGTATCTTTGCCAGAGCAAAAAAATGAAAAGCACTGACAAGCAGAAACAAATAATTGGTCTTTGGAGGGACTATTTCTAGTAAATAGATATCAAAGGCAACTTGCTTTTAGTCCTTTGGTTCCATAAAAATGAATCTCCAGTTTTCATTTCACAATGCTAACCAAAATAAAAAACATATATAGACTTTCTGGCTGGTATGGCCCCCTGAGTTGTCTCAGTGCCATTACAGAATTGTTCACACCTGTGTGGCTTTTGACTCGCCCTTGAGAAACTGCTTTTTAAATAATCTGTGTGTCTTTCTAGCTCCCCCTGTGGCATGTCATGTGCACTGGTAATTGTGCCTGATGACTTTGCAGTTTGATTTTGCTGTGGTTTTAGAAGGATATTAATTTTCCGTATATGAGGAAGGTTCACTTGATTAGCTGAAGATGGCAATGCTCCCTCTGTCTGTCCAAGTATTATCCTTGTTAACAGCATTTGCACTTGGTATATCCCCAAAGTAGAGGGGATATGTCTCAAAGGACACTTGATCACATCTCAAAAGCAGTTTTGTAGGATGGGCACTAATTGTTTAGACTCCCTTTCATTTTTAGGGGAGAGACACTGACCTGATTTTATCAGGAAACTGATTTATGATCAGCTGGGCGGTGTGCTAGAAGTGTAATGACTTAGATGTAATTATTCATCTTGTATGTTTTTTGAGCAAAGTAAGGAGAATGCTACTTGTACTCTGGGAACTGGGATACTGATAGAGTGGTTGGGTTTATTCTGGTTCTGATGAGACATAAAATCTGTAAACTAGATATTGAGAGAGAGAAAGAGAGACTCTTTTTAAAATTGCCAAGGTACCAGCTAAATACAGTAGAGCAATTCTGGTGATACTCTCAGAAATATTGTTAGTCTCTGAAGTCCTAGGGGAAGGCAAAATAAAATGTTGCATTTTAGACCAAAGCTATACACACAGAGATGTTGCACAGTTTTGATTGTAAATTTTCATTTTCTCAGTGTAATCACTGAGAAACTAAACTCACTAAGCAATGATATCTTTATCAGTATATTGTTATGACTCCCATGTATTCCTAGAGAAAATCACCAAATGTTTAGAGGGTACAGTAGGATAAAGATAAATCTGCACTTGTATTTTTTTTTTCTTGTTTGCTTTGCCATTATCGAGTTTCTTTCGTAACTGGCCCCTGTGAAATTGAGGGGCTTTGTTGCAGATGTAGCTTTTTATTTGACCCTAATTTGCTGTTCAGCAGTATGTGTTTATGGAAATGATAATTGATTATTTTAACATTGCTCTTTTCAGAGGAAGAAAAAGTTGCTTTTGTTAATTGGATAAATAAAGCTCTACAAGATGACCCAGACTGTAAGCATATCCTCCCCATGGACCCATCAGATGCCAGTCTCTTTAAGTCCCTGGCAGATGGCATTCTCCTTTGGTGAGTCTAGAGCTGAGAGGAGGAGGAAAAGAAATTCATCTCAAAGGTTAAGTTTTAAACACAGGGAAATTCATGGAAATTTTTTGTGTTAAACATCAGGACTTGACTCTTAAATATTTCAACAAATCATGTGTAAAACCTGTTTACCCATAGTAAAACATACTTAGTACATTTTTAGTATATCACTGTGCAAATGTTATATAAGTTTTGTCAAATTCAAATCTGTAATGATACATTCCAGATGCATGCAGACTGTTTACAAATGTTATAAACTGTTGATATTTAGAAATCATAGCCATTTGAAGTATTTTTAATGAATCTACTTACTGTATCATGGGACTGGATGAACAAAAACCTGATTTAAATGTGTGGCAAAAGCAAGAGCATACAGTACTATAGGCTGCTGTAACTTTCTGTTTAATTAAGCTAGCACTTATCCATATAGTGTAATAACTAAGGATTGGTTCATTAGTTTTTATATTAATTAATCTCTGAGATACATGAAGTTCTAAGATGCCATATAAATTCAGGTTATTAGTGTGTAATATAAATATTTTCCCAAGAGACTAGTTTATAGTTATATTCTTACCACGAACTTTTTTTGAAAATACAGCCATGCTTTGCTCTTTCAGTATAAACAATTATTCAAATTATTCAGATAAACAATTATTTAACAGGGAGGAGAGAGAGGAGGATGTACTCCTTATCACAAGGCAACTTTACAAACAGTCTAAAGCTTTATAAGCAAATAATATTTCTCAGGAAACATTTTATTATCTTGAATAAATTTTGACTTTTATTCCTTAGCAAAATGATTAACTTTTCGCAACCAGATACAATTGATGAAAGGGCTATAAATAAGAAGAAACTCACTCCTTTCACAGTTTCTGTAAGTACTACACAATTAGGAATCTGTTACAAATGAAGTAGAACATACTTCTATAACTTTAAGGATAGTCTTCCTGGGAGAGAGGCCGGGGTTGGGGGGGGGAAGTCATGTATTTTAAAATGTTAAAGCATTAAGTAATATTTTCTAGTAAGTATGGTTGATTCTTCTGTGTCTTAGAATGCATAAAGA